CTAACATAACATTTTTTGATACTATAATTTCAGTATACAGAAATGAGTTATGCGCAAATCGTTTTGGAAACTATCGCGCGAGTGTATAGTCATCATTCCCATGGGTCACAATTAATGAACCATTGTCACCGAAGACTTATCTGATTCCGCGTACAACTACAACGATGCCAATTAGATCTGTTATTGGAATCGACTAACTACCCTCGAAAAGGTCGACAATCGGTTCAGTAATGAAGCATGACGGATAAAAGAGAAGGAATAATTTTGAATACCTGAGCCAGTCAAAGGTCGTTAGAACGAATTCAACATTTAGTGCGCCCACGAGTGAGTGCGGACCTAAAATGATAGTACGGAATTTTATAAAGCGCATTCACTATGCTCGTGTGTCAAGGGGAGGCCAGTCGCAAGAATCAAAGGACGACGTGCTAGTGTACCGTAAAGACGAAATCACCCCCCCCCCTCGTCGGTGTTTTTATTCAGCAGGTCCTGCGAGAATTGATTCTCCCCGTTGTTGTATTTACGGTACGTTTAACAGGAATACATTGCGACCCAGTGAGATATAATAACTTGTTAAAGACTTTTTTCAATTTAGCAATGACGTTGTCGGATGCGGATTGGCGGTGCGGAAGAATAGGAAGATGAATACGACAAGGTCGCAAATACTGACAGCAAACTGCCCGTTTCAGTGACATCGGCAGAATTGTGTTTTTACGGGTCACGTGCCCGAGATTACGCGCAGACCAGCTGTTCTATCCGATACATTGTACTCAACAGCTGCAGCATGCATAGCGTTGGCGAGCAGCAATATCGGTGAGCACCTTAAGAAAAACGGTATTCAATTCCGACATAACACTCCGGCTCAACACGTCACTGACTGTGACCGGGACGCCTGCTCCTAAAGACGACACACTTCGCCTACACTTCCATATGTAAATACTTACAATAAAAGAAAAGCGAGGCACGCCTTTTAGCGTAAGACCGTGTACGCTGAGCGTGTACACGAGTTGTAAGTCGGAATGCGCCACGGCACAAGTATTTGAAATATTACTGTTCTAATGAATTGGTACGGCGATGATTTATCGGCTGCAGTCGACAATAATTGAACGCCGGTCGCCGTGCGTATAAATGCAATTACTCAAAATAAGTAGCCGCCGTCCCACGTATACGTCCCTGTTTCTCACAACCTTAGCATGGGGTCCGGTCCGATAATGAATACAAAAACTTGCATACTAAACAATGGCCTCGCTGCAGCTACAATCGTATCAATATATTATTGAAATGCAGTGTAACATAAAAAAGCGACGACTTTTCAGTAACGAGTTTTACAAAATACAAAATTATCGACGAAGAAAAGGTATACGATGACAGAATCAATGGAAGGCAACGTCAACGACGAGAGTTTATTTTGTCATATACATAACCACTTGTTTGACGTCTTCGTCGTCGTCGCGTAGGTGGTACACAAACAGATCACCATGCACATATATCATTACTGCTGACTTTGTAGGTGTCGGATGAAAAAACTAAACTTTTCATTGAAAAATGTCCACGAGCCAGAACACGAATTGTTCAGTTGTTTTACTCATATCTCCGTATACTGTGTACATTTAACGGTGACATAATTAACATTGTAACGTATGAGCCATACTAAGGTCGTCGTTCGCGGATTTTTTTTATGTCGGCCAGATTCTAAAATGTTCAAGTAGGTGTAACTTGTTGGTACATCGTATACTATTATACATATTATACGAGTTTTGTTGGGCTTTTACATTAGTAAAAACACTTTTCAATAAATTGTAAAACACACGACTGAGGTAATAGTGTTAATTTATTATTGTCCGTTGCACGTTGTCTTGATAAAAGTTTTTGTCAGTGCAACTTAAACTAAGGACACGGTTAAGTTTCTACTAAAAACCTATTGGCGTGAAAACGTCAAAACGTATACAAAAGACCGGCTCTGACGTAGGGTTCGCAAGTTCAATTAATGTTCGCACGCAAGGTGGCAGAGGCCGTGAAGCCACGGACATAACAACGAAGCGACGGTGATGGTGGTTATAACAAAAAGAGGGAGACGACGTTACCAAGGCGACCGTAAAAACTTGTTTCCCCTCCACTCATTCGTCCATGGTGCAGGTACTTTTTGTACTGCATCCCTAGCAGTGCAGTAGGGTTACATTCTATTGCAGATTTCTCTTTCAAAAGTGATATCCACTTCACAAGAAGTAAGAACCGTCAGACAATTTATATTTATTCATTATTCTGGTTCTTATTGACTTCAGCATAAACGCGTTATTTAAAACTACACAGCCTGTAAGTATAGCAGAAAGATACGAATAGAGCTTGAAATTATTTCTCTATTTAATATTAACGAATTCTACTGACAATACAAATAAAATAATTAGAAAAAATTCAATGCAAATAACTGTGACCATTCTCTATTAATATTCTAAAGAGTCAGAACCTGTACTTAATACAAAAGCAACTTCAATTGATCCGTCATAAATTAATATAATATTATGGATTGCTTCTGTGCTTTCCCCCTTATAGTCTTCCAAAGGGGTGATCAGTATCATAATGCAGTAGTTTGTAATACGACACCTGTTTCTGTCTTATTTGTTTATTCACATTTTTGTATTTGAAATCCACAAACTTAATGATTAATGATAAAATCTTATTATTACCTTTAAAAAAATACTTTTATCATTTTGTATTACTAATAGAGCAATAAAAAATGAGAGTCTTTAACATGGAAATTAAAAAACCATTGTTATAGACTTTGAAAAGAAAACAACACATTTTATCATGAATTTTTACATTTTGTAAAGTTTTGTTATCCCCAAGCATAAACTCGACACACAAAATTGGAAGAAAAACTCTGGAGAAATCTCTTCCGTTGGATAGATCAGAAAAATCGTGAAATAATTGAATCCGTCTCTAGCAACCATTATCATGATACCAACTCATTAATCAGCAGAATTGGATTCTCTCACCTAGTTGGAGGCTCGAAAAAAACCATTTGGCAAAGGTTTCTAACCCTCAAACAGCGTTGTACGTGTAATGACCACCGGTGCCTACGGACATTAATTAGATATTTTTGTAGGGGAAAGACTTGGGTATAAATAAATAAATTACTTCCCTAGAGAACTGTGCAAGGTCGTCTTTTATTAAATGAAAAAAAATAAAAGCGAGTTTTATATTTAATCAAAATAACTAGCCAGGAAAATGATAGAAGGATGCTATTATCAGTCTTATTATGTTACATATACAATACTTCATATCAAAATAACAAAACAGATAAATACGATTCGAGTAATGGTATTGATTTAAGTATGAACCTAAAGAAAAAAAAATCGCATTTGATATAGTAGAAATAAATCACACAATATGGAACTTTTAAAGCCAATCATTGGGCGTGCCTACAACTAATGAATTGACCAACATTCCATTAATCATTTGTGTTAAAACAAAGCATTGTCTTACTAATAATTGAGATCGCGCTCAAAAAAGTCTTGATTTAGTCGTAAGATAACAGTTAAACGTTATAAAAATGTATTAAGCAGAAAACTAGAAGATATGTATGAAATCGCAAAATCACATTAAAATTGGAATTCAGAACTAAATTGACAGTAATTGTTTATACTGGGCACTAGATGATTCTCAAATAATATAATATACGTTTTCCTAATAAAATATTTAAACATCCAACGATCGACTTTTAACAAGTGATTGTTCGAAGAGTGTGTTGTTTTTTATGGTAGAAATACACCGAGAGACAATAAAGTATAGGCATCTATATAATATAATTCTTTCTAACCTTACAGTCCCCATTATTAAACGTATAAATGTGTATTATATTTGTTGTAAAACTTTGCTAGAATTCTTTGTCACGCAGGGATGTAGAAAGTCGTAAAAATATACAAGTGAAAAAAATTGTGTCCGAGGTTCATAAAAATCCGGAAATGAGTATAAGAAAAGACATCATAAAAGTAATATGAAGCAAAAAATGGCAACCGTCGACAGATAGACGTAATGCCGTGAGACATTAAAAGAAAAACTTAAAATGTATTTTAGAGTGTTAATGGCTTGGTGATATTAAACCATCTTCAAACGTTAGATTTGACGAACCATGTTGACACATCAGCATAAAAAAAAAAATAGAATATAAAAATTATGTTTTAATGACTCAGATTTACAAAAACGTTTTAATTTAGTTTAAATATAAAGTACTAAAAGTAGCACAATATTCAAACGCAAGTTCATTAAATTATTTAAATATCATTAAATCTAACTAGTGCATGAAAATATATAAATTGTAAATTGCATATGACTTTACAAGTTTAAGGTGTATATTGTTGTATGAGGTACACATGCAATATATTACAGGACGTGTTCAGTAATTTTCAACAAGTATATTAATATACACAATTCTGCATATACTTGAAGTTATAAGAGAGAAAGATGACGTTTAAATTTAACACACGAAAAAAGTATATAACCCAACCTAATCAGTTCGTTTGATGAAATTTTCATGTTTGATAATGTCATTAAATATTGTATTTGTTACCGTGTTTTGAAATGTTCAAAGCGTTTGAAATAATTTTGCTCGCCTGAAGATGTTATTACAGTTCTGTTGTTGAAGTAATAACATCAAAAAGATATGGTAATTCCGATAATATCTGATATCGATTAAAATCTTAGTAAATTATTTAGTTTATTTGTTGATTTCAGCTATTACGGAAACTCGATAAACTATAAAAAAATAAAACATTTTGTTTCTGACTAATGAATAAATCATATTTTTTAACCAAATAGATTGTAGTCCAATTGAAATGCGCAGATAAAACNTAAAAAAAACATTTTGTTTCTGACTAATGAATAAATCATATTTTTTAACCAAATAGATTGTAGTCCAATTGAAATGCGCAGATAAAACCAGAAAAAATACATTGCGACTCTACTTTAGAAAGCAATAAAGTTAGAGATTTTATCTCAATCCTTACCTGCTACTTGTAGCGTGGCGTTTCGGCTGACTTCAGTACCAGCCACGTTTTTTGCAACGCACCAATAAACTCCGCTATCCTGTTCCTTCTTGTTGTGCGCCACTCTCAGGAAAAACAACGATCCGTCTGATAAAATTACTTTCTGCGATCTAGTTCCACTATCTCCACCAGCACTGGCAGCCGCTCCATTAGGCGGAATTTTTAAAGGTTCGCCGTCTTTATACCATTCTATTACTGGCTCTGGCCTTCCCTCGGCTTTGCAATTCAACGTGATCGGTTCATTCTTGGGCACAGTAATATCCGTCGGGTGCTCAGTAATCCTGGGCTTCCTATATTGACCTGTACGAAATAATATGCCAGTTAATAATAATTAATCACTAAAAAAATGTCCAATATATTGAACATTCGTCCAATTAGAACATCGCGTAATGCTTGTTTTAAGCATAGGCGTTTAGAATTTGTCATGGCGCATAAATGAAAACAATAAAAGTTAATGAATATTGTACGAAACTGCACGAAAAATATTAAGTCGTAGCACAATTCAACGCGAAGGAATTCTTTGGATTTCATGATTTCCAAGTATTGTTAGAAAAATGTAATTACATTGATATTTTAGAATGTATAAAAACTTTCTTTGAGATCTCTTTTAAATGAACTTTAAAATACTATCTTTTTACTTTAATCCGTCCTCAGGGTGAACTTCACATACTTAATTAATCTACAGGGAACGGTAAAATCTTTTGTCGGCAAAGTTGGCAAGTTTCAACGGGAAATATTCGGACTTTTTGGTAATCCTCATCGGCTACTTTACTAAATAATAATTACGATAGACACACTTTTATGGTAATTATCGCACTAATAGGATGCATTAAAGCGAACAGACCTTTGACGATACAACAGTGTACACATGATATTAAGTAAATTTCAGCACGACCCGTCGGCGGCAACCGTATCCGCAATATCATTTTCGGTCAAAACGCCATGATAATAAATTCCGCGGATATAATATCATATTCTACCTGTGTCTAGAGAACTGTACTAGATTGAACGGCACATAACAATATTATGCGCCAGCAGCCGTAAAGGCGTACCAGCTGTCGCACAATCGTTTGCCACACGCACCGAACCGGGATCGTATAACTTAAATGTTGAATACATTTCAAAGGTGGTTATTAAAACTCCACTTTGCCGTACACAGAAGCTTCTTTATCTATTTCGACCCAGAAGCTCGTGTAATGTAAACGGGCTCAATATGATTTTGCTAGTGTAGTCGTAGAAAATTATACAAAAGTTCCTCTGCCGTCTATTCACAACACGAGTTGTCTGACGTTGAACACATTCGGTTCTGCATTGCTCAACTATTAACTATGCGGGGGACATACAACAGAAACGGGTGCAAAAGTTTTAACTAAGGGTCGTTATGTGGTAAGGCCGAGCGCTTATCTGATAAAACTAGCAAACCAAATAATTTGACCGGATCGAACAGTGGTTTTCTTTTATCGGACTTGTTAATGTCGCAGCCAAATACTTGGCCCCGATACCTTTTGTACACTGCAACGCATTAATAGACACACTGTATCGAAAAGTGTAGTACACAATAACGTGTATTAGACTCACCCAACGCCAAGTGGCGGATTGTCTCTGACGTGCTCAAGCGTAACCAGTAGTGTTTTTATAAATGTCAAAAAAGTAAACGTGAAATTGTATTCACATTTTCATTTTTTTTTTTTCATAAAAGATGTTGTGATGACCAACTACGCCAGCGAAGAATATCATTAATAATTTCGATTGTAAAGATAAGGGTAAACTCTTGTCTTTATCTTCAGTGTTTGGACATATCCAAACACTGAAGACGGATTCGCCACGGATATTGTTGAATTCAAATGCTTATTAACAACAACAATACCAGGTAAACACGGCTTGTTTATTTATGTAAACACTCTAATGAGAACTGTATATTTTCTACATCGACTTTTTGATACTGAAAACTTTGAAAATATGATCATAACATTTCTTGTTTCGTGAAATAGTAGTTACACTTCAACAGCGCTATTATGTTTGGCAAAATCGTGAAAATCTATATAATCGCATAAGTTTTTAATTATTGTGAAATGGGAGTTCACTCGACATTACTTTACACAAATTCAGTGTTTCAACAAATATTTCCAAAGCTCTCGCTGTTAACTTTTATCACTTTGAAAACTTTTCTCAAGTCCCACAAAAACAATCAACGGTTTCTATTTAATAATATTATACATTTACAGTTTAAATACAAACTTTATGATCAGGCAAAACTACTTGATACATTTTCTGAGTTATTTTTAACTCACATTTGCAATAGAAACGTGTCCGAAAAGACCTCATTTCGAGACGTTTAACAATAGAACACTCATCATTACAATATCAACGTGTAAAAAAAGTGTTGTTGACTACTTTTAAACTGTATGTTCTTAACACATTTAATTGGATAACAATGTTACGAGATATTTTTTCTACCTATTTTTATCATCTGCCTGTGAGATCGCGCAAATAAACAATAAAATCACTTAGCTGTTACAAATACAAGGTCTATTTTTTAGATATTTCTCGCATGACGTTTATTCTTTGTGAAACCAACGCTAATTCGGTAAACTGTACGGCGACTATTTATTTACTATATTTTTTTTTGAATTTTGTCCCGTAGACTTTGTGTTTGTGAAACGCGCAAAACAAGTCACAAGATGATACTTTTAAAGACCGTTTCGTAAATAAAAATATATTCGTCAACGGCTCATAAATTCATAATTATACGGTCATTTACCACGTTCATCAGACATACATCCCCACACTCGTTTTGGGGTCATTTATAAATCGACGGACACCATAGTAAAAACATTTATCCCGAATTTGTCGCCCAAAATCATTGACCGATCGTATTTCACCTCACCCTCGTTTAATGATTTTAGCACAGATGTCGATCGGTATAAAACTTCGACGGGGGGCAAACTCTGTGTCGTAACCGGACGCCCGTTGGATTTCCGAAAATCGAAATTGAAGAAATAAAAGACGGGATACAATAACAACACAACACCCTGCACTACGTTAAATTCTTTTTAGCACTGCAGACAAAAAAAAGTTTAGAAAAGTAAATATCCAACATAAATTTCTCCGAAAACTTTATAAGAATGATATATATTTATATTAGAGCAGTATAAAAAAATCGTGCAATTTATTAGAAAATAAGCTACTGAAAATATTGATCCCGTGAAAGTATGACTGGCGATTCTATTTCGTTTAGTGGAACTAATAAAATCATAATGCACATAGAAGATCTCATGAATTATCTATCGATTTAAATATGATGACATTTAACATACGAAAAATACACGTTGTTAAGATTTAATAATTAATCTTTATCATTAAGGAATAATCACACAAAGCGGTAATTACTACTGTAATAAAAAATACTGTTATATTAGTATATCGCCAGAATTTCTAACGTTATTACTCAAGAATTTTAATAAGACAATAATTATTCCAGATGAAGTAGTGTCTGAAATGCATCCTTTGATCTTTATACTTCTTTATTAGGGTTGAAATCCATAAAAGTATACACATTTTGAACATTTTCAGTAACTCTAAAGGATTATATTCCAATAAAACTTAACGTTTACGACTGGAAGCTTAATAAGGAATCGGTGATGGTTATATTGTATACTTAAATACACCAAGGTTTAATAATATAATGGCCATTAAAAGATTAAAAGATTCACATAATATATTATCAAAATTCAACAAAAATAAATTTAAGTAATTTTAGGAATACTAAGTGGCCATTTTATTAACGTAATGGAGATACACGAACACGTGTTTTGAAATCTATAATTATATTTTCGATGTGAAAACTGAGATGGTATTTGATATTTTTACAGCTTCACAATGATATATTTCGAAATTCGTTTTCAAGTCCGCAGCAAACGTAAAAACATTATTATTGTTATCAAAGTAAAACGCAACATTTTATTTTTATCGCTCTAGATTATTATTTGATTTTTTCGAATATAAACTAAAACAGCGAAACATTTGCAACATTCGAACTTAAATATCTCGTGCACATTATATTGTAGAAACATTCTTTTTATAATAACGACCGTGTTCATGGACATCTTTAAACGACTAAGGCAACGCTTACCGTAAAATCACCACATAACATCTACCAAAACACTGGAGACTGTTAAAAAAAAGGAAAATAATGCAAATATATTTCACCATCAATGCAGTAAAGTATACCCCGAAACAGTACTTTCCCGGCATAATATGCAATTTAAATAATGTCTTACTTTAAATATTATTGTCATAACCACCCCATCTTCACATTTCATTGCGCATAAATATTATGGAATAAATTTCTTTAAACAAGCAGGTAATGGTCGCAGTGTAAACACAAAAAATACCTCATTTTATTAACCATCTGTAATTCTACGTTTGTTGTCTTATTCACATTTTATTGTACCTATAGCATAATTTTTATTTTTTGCTAATAATTATTGGGTTTGTAAGATAAATATAACTGTTTTATAATACTGTTCATCTTTTATATCAATAATTTGTTCTTTTCTTCTTATACGAAATTAACCGTTATTACTTTTAAGAACCATACCATTAAATTCATAAAATTATTTAAAATTAAAATATATTTAAAATATTAATTTAAAACTGAAATACACAAATTAAAAAAAAAATTGTTGAAAACAGTATAACTAAAATTTCAAGTACTTTTATTATTACGTCCTATCGAAATACTAGAAAATATTAATTTAGATTTGTAAAATATTAACACTCGTGATAGAATTAAATTAAAACATAACTCAATAATAGTTAAAGTATTTGTAAAACTGATCAAAATCTTGTATTATAATACTCATGACTAAGTACATAAATCAAAATAAATACACCTAGTTCATAATACTCGGCGTCTTTTTATTACAAAAGCTTTACCAAAAGAGATGAGTGAGGTTTATAGGTAAAACAAGGAGAAACAATGAGACTGGGGAATTAGAGGACAAAATTGGAGAGCGAAGGGTATGGCAAATTACTGAGGATAAATTGCAAATTAGGTAAACTGGATTTGTACAACAATATGGCTCCGGGTCGTCAATTTGTCACAACATCCAAATTTGCATCAGACATCAAATCCCAAATGACTCGATGCAGTTAGGACATTTGTAAGCTCAACATACACAAACGTAACGTGACAGTAGAAATTATTCTGAACCCAAACACGATCAATTAACATGAAGTTTTTTTAATTGTATCATTTAGGGCTATTGTTCTTTACAATAGTTTGAAAAATTCAGTTT